TTATAAACACATGTTCATACTTTTATTCCACAATCAGAGAGAAAGAAACAGAGAGAGTGCAGGACAGACAGACAGACAGGTGACAGTCTCAGGTGTACACACTGCTACAAAACAGCACCAGAGAAGGAGGATTTAGTGTTTGTGTTATTACGAAACAAGAAGAGTTCCCAGATGGTGCAGTGGACACATGTGTGACTCCTGTGATTAAAGCATCTTTCTTTCAGCTTAACGAGTGAACCGTCAGCTCGTTAAAACACATGTTAAAGTCCGTTTGGCTCGACACCACCGAACAGAGGCAGCAATATAACATAGCTAACATTAACAGTGCAGTGAATCCTGCTTGTGCCGTGATATTCAGGACTGCAAACCGAGCAGCATCACTGACTTTTAGCTTGTTGTGTTTGTGGATATATGACTGACTTTAATTATCCACAAAATCATCACATTCTCTGTAAGAGATATATATATATATAGAGAGCGAGAGAGAGAGAGCTACAGGATTTCAAACAAAGTAAACGCTGAAAGTACAAACATCACTAATGTCACATAACTTTGCCGACATGTGGCCAACAGTAATGTTTTAATGTTCTTCATTATTAAACATTTGCACATAAATAAGTGACATGATATTTACTACTTACTTTTGAAAGTTTACTCTTCGGCTGCTCCGCTTCCACTTCTTTGAAGTGTCTCCCAGTCCCAGTGCACTTGTTAGCATTTTTTGGTTCGTGCAACTGGTCCGTCCGGTTATTGTCTCCCCAGAAACATTTCCGTTGTGTTGTGTGTGCTTTTTGCAGCGTTTTTCTTTTTGCAGCATTTTCTTTTTGCAGCATTTTTCTTTTTGCAAGTGTTTTCTGAAGTTGCGGTCCGTTTGGCCTCTCAGGGCCACCGTAGAATTCTCTTATTAATGTGTTGCTTCCAGCAAGGATGCCAGTGTTCTAGCTTGCTTACATGTTAGCACTATCCTGCCACACTGCACTGTGCCACCTAATGGCAGTGTGAGTGCAAGTTAATGATGAAATTAATGAAACTAAATTAGAAATTAACGATGTTTGTTTTATGTGTCACTTTTTTTTCCTGTCTGTTTTAATCTATTTCTATTGTTTCAACCCTCTACAAATGCAAACACGTCATTTTGGGGTTGATGCAGCAGTGTTATAAATCTAATCTAATCTATCACTAGGAAGAAGCAGTGGATCCTAAAACAAACAACTGGACCGTCGTCGACTGACGCCATGATTCTAGCTAGATTCTAGACTGCAGATGAGCTGCATATGTGTTTAGTAGTAATTTGTTTTTGTAGAGGGTTAGCAAAACAACCATGTTTGAGGGTGTCACCCTGGCGCTAACCAAAACGCTATTTAGTCGAGTGTGACATCATTCCCAGGTCCGTGTTCCGATTTCCGAGGTCAGTCGAACGCAACACAAGTAGTAACGAGTAACGACCCCATCTAAATCCCAGTAACAATAAATGCTTTACTGATTTTGGCATAATAACTAGTTACCGTGCTCATTACCGCAATAATAACGTAGTTACTGTAACGCATTAGTCCCTACACTGTTTATATATCATGTTTAACCTGAGTAGCGAAAGACCGCGGGGGTCTGAAAACGATGTGCGGGGAGTACACTGTTTTCGAGGCTCGGACCTCTCGGCTAGCTATCGAGCTGGTGGGTAATAGACGTCTGCTTATTCCTGCGTCTTCTGGGATCTTACAAAGCTTCAAACGAGGTGTCGACGATTTTGATCGTCGATGTAATCTTGACAAGTTGACTAATCGTGGCAGCCCTAATTCAGACCGTTAAGTTCAATACTGGTTACTGACCAGTTACTTAACAGAGCAGGCACCAATGAAAATATCAGACAAGCACCATCATCTCTGTGCATGTGTATTGCCAGTTTGCTGATAGGGGAATCGTTTCTCTGTTATTTTTATTCTTTCCTCTGCTGCACAGATTAAACAGGCCTTTATTTCTTGTTGTAAATCAGCAAACACTGACCTCAGTAACACGATCACCACTGAATCTTTAGACGCAAACATGGTTTTCTTATCCATCGTATGCTTCATATACACCAGAGTCTGTTAAAGCTTTTGGGTGGAGGCAGGCCCTTGCAGCGGAGACCTCTGTAAGCTTAGCTAGCGATCACACGGGGAGAGAGCGGCAGCGACCAGACATCACGGGAAAGACGTTTTTTAAGTTCAATAACTAGATGATTTTTAACTGATGAACAACAGAAACGAAACAAAATCACAGATTCTGCTATAAAAACACAACAAGACATGGTGGACATTATGGTGAATCAATAGCTGTGCATAAATATGTTTCTATATACATTCATTTTAAAAGTGCGTGTTTCAGTTTGGGTTCCACGCTGAATCAGGAACGTGACACAAAATCATGTCCCGTCATCACAAAGGACACGACAAGAAGCCAGAGCGGGCTGAGCTTCAACCTCACAAAAAATACTCTGGACTGGGGCTGGGCTATCTCATACCGTTCACGGTAATACGGTGTAATTTTGGGCAACGATAGGAAAACGAAATATCGCGATAGAATATGTGTAAAACGCGCATGCGCAGTGCCTTTGTTTACATACGCACATGGCGGCAATGCAGAATGAGAAGAGCGAAAGCGGATCATTGAATGAAACAGATGAACCAGAACTGGTTTGTAAAAATGCTGCAGCTTCACTGGTGTGGAACTGGTTTAGTTTTCGTCCGTCAGATACACAACAAAGCACTATTTTCGGTAGAGCATGCTAGCGGGCCGTCGTTATTACCGTGTTGTTTGGAAAATACGGCACACTTAAAATCAATCCTTTGATTTTTCTGAAAGTTGACAGTGCCCCTTATAATCCCGTGTGCCTTATGTATGAACTCTGGTTGCGTTTACTGACCTTGAAACAATTTTATGTACATGGCGCTCGAAAATCTGTCAAAGGACTTTGCTGAGCTACGAAGCCGCACCGCTGTACCGCGGAGTGATACGTACTGTGCTTCAACATAATATTACCGTATTGTGTGTGTATAACCTCTTTTTAAGTTTTGTGAATATTATACATGGTTATGCTGAGGATATGTCGGTCAGTTTCCACTGGAAATGCCTTTTGGTTAAACTGTCAGCAACGAATTTGCATTTGCACTGTTACATTTTTATATAACTTTATTGCATATAAAAAACAGCTGCTTGTTTAAGTGAAAATACATTGATGGGGGTTTTGCACTAATAAAATTGTGGAGTTGTAAAGCATTTTGTCTCGTGTCAATTATATCGTCAGTTATATCGTTATCGCAAATTTTCAAATGTATATCGTGATAACTATTTTTGGTCATATCACCCTGCTCTACTCTGGACGAACATTTACTGAAACATTTTGTGTTATCATTGCTGAAACTGACATCCTGATTGCAATCACGTTAGCCTGAAAGTGCTAGCTGATAATGCCTACCGCCACGTCACATCCAAATACAGTCAGGTATGGTCACAGGGTGTGTGATGTCATGTTGCAGGATGTTTACCTGACACAGGTGTAACCTGCTGACGACCTACTAAATTGAATTTCATTGTGCTAACCACATAAGATGTATAACAGTCATAATGAGTGAATAACGAATTCTGGTGAGCTAGCCAGTGCTAGCACTCGCAGTCATGTGTGGTCAAAAATGTCAGACTGCAGGCTTCGTAACAGGTAACTGTGCTATCTTAAGTCTCATATACTTTAGCACTGTAGTGTTCACGCTAACTGGGCAGGTTAGCTGCTATCTGCTAACATGTTAGCATTGCAGCTATTATGCCACCTGAAGAAAACAGAAGTCTTGACAGGATTGCATACTAAGGTGTGCTTTCTGCAGGTGTTACAATGAAGTCCAAGTAGTCAGTTTTTAACAAGTAACGCAGACTCTTACAGGAAGCTCTAAAACACAGCCACATCAAGCCCTGGGTAGCAGCAGGAGGTCTGAGGGACACTGAGGAGGTCTCTGGGCGCTGGAGCTGCTGACTTTAGTTTAACTCACCCGTGAACGTGGCAGAGCTGAGGTCAGAGCATCTCAGAAACATTCAGGGCGCAGACACTGTGCAGCCTGCTAGCTCTGTGCTACTTTCCCGCCCTAACCCCACACTAAAAACTACAAACTGAGGCCCTCGGCCTTGTTCCGCCCCTAACCATGACCCATCTGCCCTCACCTGGCCTCCTGGATATAAACACATCCGCAGGAGCCGCGTGCTAACCTGCCCTTTAAACTGCACGTGCTCACAGACACCCGAGGTTCCGGTGAAGCAGCGCGCGGACGCGGAGGTTCGGTCTCGGTTCCGCTGGGCTCGTTGTGCTCCGTGCCGCCCTCAGAGAGCAGCTAGCCGCAGGCCTCACCGAGCTCACCGTGGCTGCCGTCACCCCGAAGCTCGGCCACGCGCTCCGGTACCGACGCAATCGTTACCTTGTGTTCGCCCCCGCGCGCCCGGCGCTTCCGAGGGGCTCCGTGGATCCGTTGTTCGGGTTCGGTGGTCGGCCTGGCCGCGGAGAGTCTTTAATGGTGGGAGGCAAACAACAGCGCACGCGGCGTCCTCCGCAGTCACGTCACCTCCGCCAGTACTGCGCAGCCTCCGCCGCCATCTTGGGGCCGCAACCTGGCTGTGACGGCAGGAATCCCCGTGAGCACCGGCCGTCGGAGACCCGTGAGCGACCGCGGGACTCGAACGTGCCTTCCGAGAACACAAAGATGACTCCGGTGAGACCCCGCGGCGCGGCTTGATCCCAGGCGGCCAGCCCGCCGCCTCCCGGGGCTCCGTGCCGTCGGTTCGACCCGGACTCGGGCCGCGGGCTTGGGGCGAGCTGACTCTGTTTAGTCACACTCCGAAGCGGAACCGAGCCACAGCACGGGAACCACAGCTGCCGCCACACTACTCACGTGACCACAGCTGGATCATTCAGCCCGCACTGATACTGCGCGTTCCTGTGTCTGTGTGCGCGCTTTATTTTGTGCGTACGGGGTTCACCAGGTGCCTCGTTAGCTCACGGCTAACACTAAGTTAGCCAGGTGTGGCTGCCGCCCACCCGGCACGTTATAAATGCACTCATTTATAACACTCACAGGTAAGTCACGTGACACAGCTCGTGAATAAGTAATCTATTACAATAAAACATTTAGTGCAGGTAACAGTGTGTCCAGTGTTTAATAGGAGTCCTCTGATTACTTTGTCTCTCTGTTTTAAGCACAAGTGTGTGCCTCTGACCTCAGTGTCACCTGCATACCTGCCCCCGGGCTTCTGCAGTTTAACATAACGTTGTTATGAAGAATGAAAGTACAGGCGTGGTGATCAGGTGTGTGTGAGAGCTCTGCACGGTCGGACTTGCAGCCTGGAGGAGGAGGAGGGTGAAGCTTCATGGACATAGTGAAGGACTCAGCGGGCTGTGGTTAACTGTAAAGGGTGGAGGCTTTTATAAGGTGTAGATGCAGAGGGCTTCACACGCGGAGCCTGATGAAGATAACAGGAAATTCAGAATTTTTGGATTCACGCGTTCAGCAGCAGGTTTCCTGGTTTGATCCCAGGAGGGATCGTTTCAGTCTGGAGCAGCAGCGAGCGGTGAGTGAGGATTATTTTAGTGTTGCCGAGTCGCATGTGTGTTCAGTGACGGTGCGCGCTTTGGGATACGAGTACAAGTGCAGCGATCTGATTGGTCAGATCTGTTTATTCACAGCCAAAAAAATCCAAATGTTGAGCTTCATCAAAATTTTGCGTCCTGTGAAATCTCGCGGTCTGTGTGGGCGCGTTAAGAACAGGTAAAAAGAAAAACACTCGTGTGTGTGTGTGTGTGTGTGTGTGTGTGTGTGTGTGTATAGAATTTTATTCTCAGGTTTCTGCAGCATCTCCGTGTGATGGCGCAGGTACGAGTACAGGTGTGCTCTGAAACTCTGGAGACCTTTGAGCACAAAATATCTGGAAACCACAGCTGCGAAGACAGACTGTAAAACACCTGGATAAACAATCACCATGGAGTGTGACAGGTAGCTGGAACCAGAACCTCCACAATGTTAGTGTTTGTCCTGGGGAAATGCGCCTGTCAGGTAAACTCAGCTCACACTTTCTACCTGGAGTTCAAACATTGGCCGGTAAACACCTGACACCTCGTTTAAACATCTCTCAGCCTGATTGGAGGAAACCGTGAGGTCAGGACAGCGCTTAAGTCTGCACGGGAACAGCAGTGAGGTTTCTCCAGAGTCTGCTCCCTGACGCTCCCCACGACAAGCCACTCTGGGCGTCGGCCTTTGGTCACATGTTGGCGTTTTAAAGAAGAAGAAACTCTGCGTTTACCTGAGGAAAACTGAGATTTAACCTCGTCGATGGTGCGCACAGCTATCTGCTACTTTTTTGCTGCGTTATTCTTTCTTTTTTGACCAACATTTCTGCACAGGTAGGGTTGTATTGCCTTGAGCAGGTATTTTAGTATTTTTGATCTTCTAGTTTAGCCAAACTTCACCTGCAGCTCAAACGTCCCTGGTGGCAGGTGAGGCTTCAGCTTCTGCAGCAGTGATCAATAACAGTCATTGACAGGTGATCAGGTCCACGTGGAAACATGCAGAGGGTCAGTCTGAGAACAAGCGTGTCTATGAAAGTGTGAAATATCCAGCTTCTGTCCCAGCGCTGAACACCTCCCAAAACCTCCATCCTGATCCTCTCCACAGGTCTGTGCGGCCTCCTCCTGTCCTGTGGCGCCTCCTCCTGTCCTGTGGCGCCTCCTCCTGTCCTGTGGCGCCGCCTCCTGTGGCACCACCTCCTGTGCGGCCTCCTCCACACCGTCTGTTTCTGTGTGAAGTCTGAAGAACCACAGCGAACTGGGATTAACGCTGTAATCAGCTGATCATCGTGGAGTTTCCGATGTTAACCAAACTGACTAATCGCAGCGCTGTGATGTCATCAGTACACCAGATCCTCATATTTAAGAAACCATGAAGGTTCATCTCTTGCTGTGATGTCACAGCTGTCATCACAGCGACCTGATTGGTCAGTTTATGGTTTGTGTCGTTGTGTCTTCAGGTCTGTCGGCACGCTCAGCTGCTCCTTCAGAGTTAAGCCGCTTTTTTTTTTTCTCTTTTGTGTAGTAAACCAACATAGTTTTGCTGTTGTGAATTAGAGTTAAGGTATTCCTCCCAACTCTGGCACTATAAAGACAAGACATAGCAATGTTACACTTAAGACATAGCATTAGGGACTGCTTTGGCCTTCCTTATAACCCTAGCCACCATCCTTATTATCCCAGTTAGCATAGTCACAGTCGTTAGTATAGACAGAGAAACAGAGAGCAACTTCTGGAGCTGAAAAGAAATGCATTGCCACTTAAGACTGGCTCCAGAAGATGGCCAGCTCTATAGACTAAAGGACTAAACTGCACAGATTTAGGGCAGATATAAGCATGTTTGCACTGTAGTATGATCAACAGGTCGAATTTAGGTATAAATTCACCCTTTAAGTTAACCCATTAAATTATCTTAATGATATTTCAGTTCATGTTAACACTGATTAGCAGATATTTATACCTGTGTTAAACCCATAGTGTCTGTTTATACAACCTGCTACTACCTAAGCAAATTCACACTAGCTGCTAAGTTAGCGCTCTACTTTGTTGCATGAATATTAGATTTTACAACAAAAAACAAAATTCTACATTCAAAACAGGATAATGTATAAGTGAGTAGAATTAGCCTTTATATACATTAAATCCAAATCCAAAATCAGAACATAGTATAGCTTTGGCCATAGAGTTAAGCCGCTCTTGTTTGCATCACAACCGACGTAAACAATGAACAAACCAGCAGTGAAACGTCCAATCACAGCACAGAACCACGACCCGTCTCAGAGACTTGGGATCGCTGTCTTAACCAATGGGCGGGGCCTAAGTGCCGCACTTGATGCTGAAGCTCAGTGTGACGGTCTTCATGTGTTTTCCCGTTTATTCACACGGTTCGTTTCTCACCGACCTGCAGGAACGTTCTGCTTCCATCAGAGCGCCGCCTGGAGACCAGGCGCAGGTGGAGCAGTGTGGTGTTCTCTAAATGTCATGTTAAACAAAAGCAACACGGTCCTCCAATTAGCTAATAGGAAGCAGCTCCACCCTGATGATATCATAACTCATGTTCAGAGCCGTTACATCACAGTTATCAGGAAGCAGAGCGGCGCCACACGGCGAGGCTGCCCTGCAGGTTTAGTGTTCACAATCACAGCGACACACTCACATACACACACCTGCTGAATGACATCACAAATCTGTCCAGTATGAGGTTATTTTAAATATTTGTAAGCCTAAAACCTGACAATAGTAAAAGGTTTTACATCACTAACACTGAACATGTATGACGAGGCATCCTCTACCGTGTCACACGTCAGATTACCGTCACATCATAATCAATAACCTGAGCCGTCGCCTCTACGCCCTTCAGCTTCCTGTCACATGACATGTCAGCAGAGGAAATGTCAGGCGCTGCAGCAGAGCGCCCCCTGCTGGAGTGAATAAACGCCAGGGACCAAGTCTCAGTCCTTCAGACCACAGACTGTAAATGAATGATGGAGCTGAACTGTGAGGTCAGAGGTTACCATCTTAACCGCTTCCTGTCCTAAAACGCGTCTGGAAAAACTTCAGCGAGCTCACAGATCAGCTGGCTTCTGTCCAATCAGACTTCAGAGTCAGCCCCGGATTAAACAGGACGCAGGTGTTACCTTTACATCCATCCTTTATGTACAGTCTGATTTTGGCCAGCAGAGCCGCAGTCAGGGAGGGGCAGAGACTAGGGCTGTTTGATGTAACGATATATATCGGATGACGATATAAGAACGTCTATCGTTTCATTTTACGCTATCGTTTGTTTCGTGGTGTCGCAAAATAAACTGTTTACGGCAATATTTTTTCATCGTTTTGATGGTCACTGTAGTGGCTATATTCATTTCTTAAAGTTCTCTCTTTCTCTTATATTTAATATAACCACACTACGGACGGACAAGCGCCTGTTTTTATGCGTTGTCGTTAGCGGACACAGGTGGACACGCGGTAAAACCACCGCGTGTCCGCTTGTTTATGTTCCACATAAACCTTTCACAATAAAGCTCAAGATCCTGTTGAGACTTTTCAAAATAAACTGAATCACGTGAAAGAGCAGATTATTTACGGATGAGAAGTAAAAAAAAAGACGCCAGGTGCTAAAAAAATAAACGGAAGACTCAAACGTTAGAACAGGCTTTTCCCCGCAGCACGCCGTGTAATAAATACAAAGAAAACGGCAGTCGTTACAACTTATGTCTAAAAATGTATCATTTCATGCATCTGTTAAAACGCCCGACTCCAGGTACACGACGCCCAGCTGAAAACACTTCATGCAAGTCGAGCTGAATTTATTTTTTGTGATTTATATCGTTATCGGACGATATAATTCTTATATCGGGATATGAGATTTTGGTCATATCGCACAGCCCTAGCAGAGACCACAGACTCAGGTTAAGACATCACCGGCTCACTGACACAGCTCGAGGTGTTACGGCTGAATACGAGTCTGTTTAGAGGTGTGAAATGACTGTCAGCTGTTATTGATGGGCATGCGGTAAGTAAAGTACGAAGAATCATGTGGAAGAAACAAACCCGCCCTGTGGTGTGACATCACTTCCTGTCTCTTTTACCTCATTTTTTCGTTTTACATTTTAAATACCTGACTTGATCTTTACCCCGTATTTTAGTACATTTATTCCTTATTAAAGATTTTATTTTGATCCATTTTATTTGAAGAGCTGCAAACCTGTTGATAAATATTTGTCTGATTATTTTTGAATTTGAAAACGGGCAGTAAACGATGAAACTGAAATGATTTCACAGAGCTGGACGCTGATTTTTACTGACCACGGCTGTTTTCAATCTGACCTCAGATCAGAAGACAAAGCGCAGAAAACAGGAAACACTTTATTTAATTATCACTTTCTTACAGACCTGAAGTCAGTGAGACATCACACACAGAGGTAAGAGTGTCGTCATAGCAACACAAGACACTGCAGACACGAACGCAAACCAGGATCAACAAATCAATAAATCAGTTAAGTCTGTCACCATTAAAACTTCAAGTTAATTCAGTAATAACAAAACACAGCTTCACTGTTACAGCAACAGCCACCACCGGGGGCAGCAGAGAGACACTGACAGAGGGTGGGACACACCGTGAAGAAGAAACCAATAGAAGGCACATGTAGGTCACAGAGGCCTCACAGGACACGTCCAGCAGCTTTCACACATCCCATAATTTCTCAACACATCATAAACTAAAATCAAAGCGCTTCAGAAAAATGCTTTGTGAGAGGAGCTTCAGCAGGAAGGTCAAACCTGAAATGTTTCCCTGTTAATACAGGTTCAGTGCAGGGTTGTCCAACTGGAGGTTCCCGGCCCATGTAAGGGTCAAAGGTGTGTTCAGGAAACCCCCAGTCTTTCAAAATAAAAGCACAGCTCCAGACCTAAATGGTAATGTCCTCTAAAACACAAGCTGCAAAGAAAATATCCAGGCTGATTAATCGATTAATTAACAGCAAGTGATTAATCATCGAACAAAGAAGCGGCTGCTGATCGATCAATAAAACGTGAATTATTGATTTACTGACCTGAAAATAAAACGTTTATTAATGAAATGAATGTGAGGCGTTTCGGCGCCCCCTTCTGTTTCCTCTCGGTGACTAACAGCATCTCCCTCCGTTACCGATTCACCTGCTGATCGACTCCTTAATGGATCCTTTGACTCTTTGTTCTGAAACGTAGTGGGAGGAGTGGTCGTGATTGTCCCTCAGTGCGTCTCCACCCGCCCGCTGCTCCGTGCCTTAAAGTGAGTCTGATCAGCTGACGGAGGAGCGCTGAGATTGGCCAGTCTGTGTCACACGTTGATGACGACGTCGTCGTCATCTTCGTCCCTCGCCTCCTCCTGTAACGTGTCTGTGGGCCACCTTCCCCCTGCCTCCTCCTCGGAGACTCCACAGGGGCCGGTGATGTACCTGTAGTCACCACCGATGGCAAACGCTGCCCCAGACCCAATCAGCCAGTCTTTCTCCTCGTGCTCCACCTGCCGCTGCCATGGGACGCCCCAGTTTGAAGCCGCCGCCGCCTCCTCAGGCCCTTGGGCCCGGGCTCCTTCCCCATGCTCGCCATTGTCGCCCTCCAGGTTGACGTAGAATAACGGCTCCTTCTGAGGGGAGGCGGGCAACAGGCTGACCCACAGCGCCTCCAGCTGGCCGACCAGCTGCTGGAAGCTGGGCCGACATTTAGGGACAGGACTCCAGCAGCTGTGCATGATCTCATATCTGACAACCACAGAAGAAGAAAGAGGTTAAAGAGTGCACACAGCTGACGTGATCAGCTTTATTTTGAAAGGGGTTTCGTTCTCTGTGTTGTTGTTTCTTCAGTATGTTGTTTGTGTCGTTGTGTACACACTCACATGTCGTCTCTGCAGTCAGCCGGCTTCTTCAGACGTTCTCCTTTGATCAGGAACTCGTAGATCTCCGAATTTTCCACGCCAGGATACGGAGTCTGACCGCGAGTCATGATCTCCCACATCGTCACGCCAAACGCCCACTGACACACACACACACACACACACACACACACAGAAGGTCATCATTCGCTGAGTGCACACACCTGAAACTTTTAAAGTCATTATTTTACTCCTAACATGTTCCTTTAGTTTGTTTCCATGACAATCTAATCATGTGACAAAGAGCTGGTCTGCTGACGTAAGGTAGTGTTTATGTCACAGCTTCACTCCTCATCAGCAGATGGCAGTAACGAGCACTACAGCTGTGATGAGGTGACAGCAGAAACCACCTGCACAGGTGTGTTTAAACTAGAGATGGCACGATACCACTTTTTTATGTCCGATACTGATATAAATCCGATATAGTGTTTTTTAATCAAACTGTTTTCTTAATATCTTGCTGCATTTTGTATAAGTTCATACTCAGGTTTAAATAAACAACAACACTAAAGCTATTCTGTTATTCTGTTCTGTAAAAAACACACAGCACCCAAAATATTTCAAAGTTCAGCAAAACTGATCAATCTAATAAACTTAAACCTGCTCCATCCTCCCTATTCTGGTATTTTAAAGAGTACTTAGCAGAAATATTAAGCAACCTAACTAATAGGGCTGCAAACTCCCAGCAAAAAAAATAGGGAACCACCCTCCACCTCCTGATGCTTAATCGACATAATCAACTCTAATTTGATGCAGTGTGAAAAAAAAATGGACAGAAATAAATTATTTTTCAAGAATAATTAAATAGATTCAACATCTTTCTACAACAGAACTGCAGACTGCACAGATGGTACCTTCCCAAAGGAAAAAGTACTATAGCTTACTAGGGTATATTAGACTTAACAGTTACTATATACAGTAATTGACTTATATATATTTTACATCAGATTAAAACTTTGGGTGTAAGATTCAGATAATTATTTATTAAAAGCTAGACATTTTAAATGAGAACAAGAAAGAAAAGTATGTCTTTGTGCCCCCTTTTCCCTGTTAATGCCCTATCGGCCCCCCTGGCTAAACTTTGCTAGATCCGCCCCTGCACAGTTACCAGCGTCAGCTACGTAGAAAAAGATCCTCGAGTAGAAAGTAATATTAAATACATTCTAACAACAGCTGATCAAGCTTAAACGTGCTGCTGTTGTTCAGCCGCTGGTTTCTCTCTTTCTGGTGCAAAGTGGGCCAAAAACAAACAAGAGAGACGGAGTCACGACAGAAAAGCCGATCAGCTGATCATTGATCAGTTTCATGATTGAAGTAGCAACAGGAGAGGGAGAGGCAGTCGCTCCATATATCGGTTGTTAAGCTTAAGGCTGGAATGCTTTACAAACATTCAGAGATGAACTTACACACTTGCTTTACTTCTCTCTGGGAAAAGTTCCTCGGAGATGAAATGCTGGTTTGAGGCTACAAATACACACAGCTGCTCTATCACGTGAGCACACTGCTGCGACGTGCTGAGTTACGCCATGTTGCAAGTTTTGTGAGGTGCTTTTTTGATATTTAACGGATCGGATTACATTTTTTATTTCTCTCCGATATCCGATCCAGTAATTTACGTCAGTATCGGACCGATACGTAACATCGGATCGGTCCATCTCTAGTTTAAACCCGTCTCAGCGTTAAGCTGCTGCAGGTTCACTGATGCCACAAACTCAGCGGCGCCTCCTCTCAGGTCATATCGTCTTTACAGTGGGGTGGCTGTAGCTCAGGTGGCAGAGCAGGTCAGCCACTAATCTGAAGGTCGGTGGTTTGATCTCAGGCTGCCTCCTAGCTGTATGCCAAATATCCTTGGGCAAGATACTAACCCCGTGTTTGCCTACTGGTGGTGGTCAGAGGGCCCGGTGGCACCAGTGTCCGGCAGCCTCGCCTCTGTCAGTGCACCCCAGGGCAGCTGTGGCTACAATGTAGCTTGCTATCACCAGTGTGTGAATGTGTGTGTGAATGGGTGAATGACTGAATGTAGTGTAAAGCGCTTTGGGGTCCTTAAGGACTAGAAAAGCGCTATACAAATGCAGGCCATTTACCATTTTTACCATTTGCAGAGAACAAAGCGTCCCTGCGTGCTCGCATCAGCACTCGCCTTCTGCTTGATCAGCAAACTTACAATAAGTGCTGAGACATGTCAGCTCATGGATCTGTCAGGATGGATTTTTATGAATCACAGTGTCGAGCTGCCGCCAGGCATTGTTTTCAGGCTGTCTGAACGTGACTATCAGCAGAAACTAAAAAAGAAAAGAGCCTGAAATGTCCTCTGCTCTGAATCAGGATCTGTAATCTGGGACAGCTACGTCACAGA